GTGGCAATCTAACGTGTTCTTTAACAAAATTGCCCTTGCTATGGTCAAAATCATCTGAAAGGAAATTAATATGTATTTTTTTGCATAGTTGCTTATTTATTTACTGAAAATTTAAATGAATAGAATATCTTTTAATTTTTGTCAATATCTAAGCAATTGCTACAAATTAACGTCAGCAGCTCCTTACATCCCACTTGAAACAAATATGTTATCAAAACATGTAAACATTAAATACCTTAAGAAATTATCAAAAAAAAAACATAAATTATGATGTTTGTTACCAATTTTTGTTCTTCAATTTTATCAACACTCGTGCGTTGACATGAAATAATATTGATATGTTAACCTTCTGTAAAACTGTTCATTAAAAGTGTAAATCTACGAAATTTTTTTTATCCACAGCATTATGTCATAGCCGGTTTTTTTGCACATCTGTTCGGATGTTTTGGTTTCTAATGCTATTCAACTTTGTATTTGATTTTTTCTTCCAAAAATTTGAATCGAGTCCTATGTAGACGAAACGTGCGTCTTGCGTTTCAAATTACTGAAACCAAGGTATCATAGTGTAAATTAGATGCACCAAATCGTAAACCATTCTTGCTCCACACGTGGAACATGTTGAGTTGATCATGCAAGTAATTTTATATTTTCACAATGATTGAAAAGAGGACGGAATTTTCGTTACAAAAATGTAACATATCTGACGTCGTTTGCGACACGTTACTGGTAGTTGAGGGCACATGTAAGTAAGAAATTTTTCGCATCTTTTGACATCTGATAAATAAATTGAAGATGCAATCAATACTAAAATGATCTAAAATGACTATTTTGACAATAATAATTATGGGTATTATATTGCAAGGTTTTTATTAGACTAACATTGTAATGGATGAGAAAAACTGAAAATATCTTTTTAAACACTTGAGTAAATTATCAATCTTTATGATTTAAATTCATTGTGACTTCCCTTTAAGTTTATGATTAAATTGAGCTAAATATTTTTTTTCTATAATTTTATAATGAAAAAGAAATTGACTGTTTATACATTTGAACAGAATTGAATGGTTCTATCGAGAATTTACAATTTCAGCATTTTCAAAGAAAATCAAAATCGTGCATGACTGATCAAAATCGAGATTCATTTGACGTTGGAAAACCTAAAAAAAAATCTTACTGTTGACCTTGGATTCATTTTTAAGGTCGTTGGAAACTGATCACAATGTAATGATATATGCGTTTGAAATGTTTCATAAACAGATTGAGCTTCTGCCATGATGAATTGTCAAGTTTTATATATATCATACATGTATCCCTAAAATGAGCACAAAGTTGGATATTTATCATTAATTAATACGCTTACAAATTTATTAAGAAAACCCTTTATTTTCATTTTCTCATTTAAACAAAACAAAACCGAAGCCGTCATCTTTAAGATGCTTGATTTTTTTTATTGTCAACACATTTGACACATTGGTTGATGTGATTTTCAATAGGCAATTTGTATTTCCATTGATACGAAATGTTCTTCTCTTCTTATCGACTTGCTGTTTTGTATTTTGAGGTAGAATGGTTAACGAGTTTATTCCATTGAACTGGGGAAAACAATACAGTATACAAAAAATATAGTGAATCCGTCTTATCTTGACATGATCAAAGAAAAAGACAAAATTGGCGAACTAGATCTTAACTTAACGACAAAAGAAATGATTTCAATTTTCTGATTGTTAATTTCCGAGTAGATCGATATCTGCATATGGAGTAATCTACCATTTTCGGATTTTCCTACGATGGTTTTACTGATAGAGATTGACGTCTTGCACAAAAATTATTGAATAACAGTTCCCAAAGAGTAAATTTGTAGTCATAGATGTGTGATCTTTGTCATAAATAACACTGAATATGATCCATTTTTCAACTACAAAACTGTTTTCTTTTCCTCAATTGTAATCTCATCGGATGCAAATTTCTTATCGGCTTTGCACTTGTTATAAGCATACAATGGTTACCAACAGTGGGAAAAGAATTGATGAGGCTTCAAGGACACCCACGATCGTCTGATCATATGTGTTTGAATAATTAATGTGTATCGTTTCATCGTTCTTCATTTGGATGTGGTATTGTTCGTGATCGTTGATTTATGATTTTTGTTGTAACCTTGAAAGATAATTTATTTTTAAAGTGCAAAAGTTATCTTTCAATTTCAATGCGCAAATATAAACTTCTCGGTTTTAAGCTATCATGTTTCGTGATAACTAACAAGATAACTTTACAGCACGTCATTGGCTTTCAATAAGACGATTCAAGCTATGTAAATGAAGTGCAAAGGAGTTAACCAGTTTATTAATAAGAGGACGCAATTCTCAATTTTATGATTTGTGAAGGAAAAGTTAGTAGAAAACGTTGATTTTATGACTTAATTTTTTTTTTTTATAGTTATGATATAATTCAACTGGTTAGAAAGGTCTATTATGTTCTCAAGAAAAATTCCACATTTTTTCATGATAAAGGTATAAACCGGAGTAAACCATGAAAAAACGTTGATGACGTCACGGTCACATTACAAAATTATGTCTATGAGCTGATAAACAAAACAACGTCAGCCAATCAGAAGACGCGTTACATCCAAAATTAAATTATTTCAAGATGGTACAACAGGTACGCAGATTTTCATGCAAATTTCAAATTTACAAAACATAATTACGTCGAAAAGTGTTCCTTAAAGCAATAGCAAAAAGGGGTAAAGGTAAATATTACCTGGAGGGAAAAAGTAAAATAACAAAAATACCGAACTCCGAGGAAAATTCTAAACCGAAAGTCCCTAAGGAAATGGCAAAATCAAAAGCTCAACCACATCAAACGAATAGTTAACTACTGTCATATTTTCATTGAAGTTTCGAATAATTGTCTTATTAATTTACTATAATTTTACATTAAGAGTATATCTTTTAATTTTTGTCACTATTTAACCAATTGCTACTAATATCTTTCAGTAGCTTCTTGCATCCCTCTATTTTAAATACATAAGATATCAAAACATATAATAAGTCTATATATAGATAAAAAAAATAACCTGATAAAACTAAAGAAATTATCTATATAATACCAAATATTTGTAAAACAATTTTATCAAGAATTGTCGATAAGGCCAACAGTCTTTTACTGACTTTTACATATGATTTAGACTATAATTTTTCCATTTGTTATCTTATTTTAAATAAAACGGTATAAATAATGGCAACAGCAGTATACCGCTGTTCAATAGCCATAGTTCGATAAAGCAAAAACAAATCCAGGTGAGAAACTAAAACTGAGGGAAACACCAACTATAAGAGGAACAACGGAACAACAGAACCACTGAATTACAACAAAAACAAACGCCAACATACATAGAAACGGACTGTAGATAACAACTGCCATATTCCTGACTTCGTACAGGACATGTTAAGAAAAAATGGTGGGTAAAAACCTGGTTTTATGGCTAGCCAAACCTCCCGCTTATATGGCAATGTTAAAAATACCGCCAAAATGACAACACTTCGTGACAGGAATACAGTACAAACAAACGCAAATACGCTTAGTACAGAGAAATACATAAACAAATAATATAATAGCACTTTACAACATATTAACCGCAGAATAACAACGGACACCTCCTATGAATGTACGACAGCACTCCAGGACATCACAAACAAAATATAAAATGCGCGTCACTTGAAAGAATAAAAGAATGAATAAATAAATAAATGTTATTAATTCAACCACGATTTAAAACGGTTTTCAATTTCAAATACATAAAAACGTTTGTTTAAAACTATTTAAAATATCGTACTGAATGCCTATTTGAATGGAATGATTAAGTAAGTGGTTAGGTATGATTAAAAATTCTTTTTTTATGCGTTTTATAATCACATAATTAACTCCTTTAAAACGTAGCAATTATTTGTATAGCTCACATAATATATCATATTATAACCTGTTGTTTGAAATGCTATGGAAAAACAAAGCTTAAAATGTTTTATTTTCATTGACTAAATGTTTAAGACCACCTGGTATGTATTGCCTCCGATGAGCAGCAATCCCCTACCTTTCCGGATGTCCTGAGTTCAACATCAATTTATGGTGGCGTTTGCGTTAGTTAATCATTCGGTTCATATGTAATGATTTGTTATTGTTTGTCTTATCGTCATTTTTTTGTCATTAAATTGCTTTTTTAACTGATGAATTAAAAGTCCCTCTTGGTATCTTCAATCTCTTACAGGGTCAGGTTAAATAACTTGCCGTGTCGTTTTATTGTTTTGATATCATTTTGAAAAATATAAAATTGTGTCTCTGTCTCAGATATGACATTCAGCAATAAATGGATAAGAATAAAAAAGCGGGAAATTGCCAAATTGAAATTATATTCTAAATACAGTAAAACTTTATTATTCATAATAACGTTTTCTATCATTTGCTTATGATTTGCTTTGTCACTTTATTTCTAATTTTTTTTTTATAATATTTCCATAATTTTGGAGCCGGTAAAGAATATATCAATTTTGTCTGCACTTGAAGCTTTATAAATTTGAATCTTTGTTACCATCATAATCGATAGCGATTCCCCATTTAGATATTGCTGTCTTTCGTTTGTACGCCTCAAACAAAAACAGTTCTTAAATTTCTCTTAAATCGAACTTATTTTCATCTTATGCTTTATGTATGTTGGCGTTTGTTTTTGTTGCACTTCAGTGTTTCTGTTGTTCCGTTGTTTTCCTCTCATACTTGATGTGTTTCCCTTGGTTTTAGTTTGTAGCCCTGATTTGTTTTCTCTCAATCAATTTATAACTTTTGAACAGCGGTATACTACAGTTGCCTTTATTTATGTGCAATATAATGCTTATCCATGCATAATGATTTTATAGCACTCCCTTTAAATCCTTATGAATATTGCTTTAATGAAGAATGCCTGATGTTTGTTAGAATACCAATTAGAAATCTGACATATTATTTAAATATAATTAGATAAGAACATTGAAATAAGTCGCGACCTTGCTTGACTTAATATATAATTACATAATTTAAAAAAAAGAATTGATAAAAAGAAATCACAGTGTTGTTTAAATGCTATGGGATAGATAAGTTGACGTTAGAAAATTTAAATGAATGAAATGTGAAACAGTTTATCAAAATTGAAGCAAATTCATTTGACCTTAGAAACCAACACCTTGTGATTCTTCTAGAATGATTTTGTGAAACTCGAACATTTTCAAAAAGTGACATAAGGAGATCATAATATTAGGAAAAGGGTAAGATTTTTTCTTATATATTCATTTGAAAAGAAATGTTTTATTAGTCTAAGGAAAAATGTTTTATGTATATGATGCTATTTGTTTAAACTAACCTTCAGTAAGTGCGATTATTCTCAGATCTGATCTTTGGGAAGTTTGTCCTTATGCTAATTTTTTGTTAGTGTTTCGTTCCAATCTGATTAGTTAAATTTTTTTTCATCTTATTCTGTTATATTTGTTTTTCGTTTTTCGTTTTTCGTTTTTTTTTCATTATTCTGGCCGTTGGTGTCTCTATTTGAATTGTTTCACATTTTATCGTGTATGGGCCTTTTATAGCTGTCGATACGGACTTGGATATTTGTTCATGTTCTAAAGCCGTTTGGTGACCCATAGTTCCGTAAATCCAAGTCATTTGGACTTTCTCTTCTTATTTTTGTTTACTAAAACTGTCAGAAATCAAATCATATTTATCTTATAATACGACAAAATATTTAAAGAAATTAGCTACACACTTATCTAATTGGCGTTTTTTAAATTCCATTGAAAGTATATTATCTTATTTAAGATTATATGTGGTTTTTTTTCAAATTTGAAGTCGCTTGTTTGTGAGTGTTTGCTTCTCTTGTTTTGGGATTTTTGTCAGATATTCGGAACTCTCTAGTTTTTCCTAGTAGTGCAAAATAAAATTTTGCTCGTTAAGAAACACGTGTTTTTCTCACATAATGTTATTACATATAGTCAAAATCTTATAAAATCATTGTTATTTTTACAAGGTTTTTGAAAGAAAAAAGGTGACAATGTTAAATATATGAAAAGTCTAGAGAGAATCATTTCCCGCCTATTTTTTTTTAATATGTCTCAAAAACAAGAACATAAACTTTCATTTTTTCTGCTTTTTAAGTTCCTTTACTTATAGCCATTTATAACAATCTATGAAAAAAGGCTTGTTATTTTGAAACAGAGGAGCAAACATCCTGCAGGTTTGTAAGTGATCAAGTATTTCCACAAGAACTCGAGTTCAATAGAGTACCCTTTAGTGGAGAAAAAAACATTTCAAGTGGCAAAGATACCGCCTTCTGCACTCTAAGTGTAAAGGGATTTTTTTTAAAATCCACTTCTTTTGGACTCCGTTGGATAATGTATCATTGAAAATCATACCACATCTCCTTATTTTATATTTAAGTAATTTTTGTAGATGAAAGGCTTGATTCTCATTTCTGTGTGCACGGCATGTTATACTTCCTTTGAGTCCAGTAGTTAAATAGATATAATTGCATCCGATCCGCGAAATATTGTTTTTTTCATTTTTAAACCAAATCTTAAACCAGAAAAAGACAAGTAAACAGACAGACGGGCGCTAAGACCGGAAATATAATGCACCCAACTTATATCGATAAACAACTTATCAAATCATGTATGATTCATTTGCCTGGATTGATCCGAGATATATCTTTTATTCAGTTTTAAACCAAATCTTAAACCAGAAAAGACATTCAAATAGACAGATTAACGCAAGAGCGGATATGTAATGTTCCCTATTATGTGATTATATACATGGTATACTGATTTAAGTGCTCAAGTCGCATGAGTTTAGAAAAAATAATATTTAGGGACGTTAAAGACAAAAATATGAAAGCAAAGACAGACGCGAATGCATTTATCATAAGAAAGGTGTTAGAAAAAGCAAAATCTGTATTTCTATTGTGTTTATATCAACTTCTTTCTAAAATAATTTCATTAGCGAGAAATAATTCTTATGGTTGCATGATACAAATTGATTGAGCAAAAAAATATGTGTTTTTACTGTTTAAAAATGATCTATTAGAAATGACCTTTGTGTCAAATATTTCAATTGAAAAACTCCTAAATCTTTATGATCAAAAAGATTAAATAAAACCCTTGAACCGTACATACGCCTTCATAATTTAAAAAAAAAAAAAAAAAAAAAAAACAATTGTGAGATTTGAAATACGAGCGACATTAACGTGATTTCGTTTTTATTCTTTTCAAAACAATTCAAACTACCAGTTATTTACTATCAATCTTAATTATACATTTAACTGAACTGTAAGATAATCTCAGTAAAAACGATTGGACTTTTGTGGTGATTTCTTGAATATGGAAAATAATGCTTCTTTAACCGCTCCGTATTACCGATCATAGATACGACAGATACAATCGGTAACACAGATCGGACATTTAAAAATTATTCTCATTTTTATCTAGCAGAACATCTTAAAAAATTGGTGTGAAAAAAAAAAAAAATAGAAAACTTTCGAGTTCGATGCATTTCTGTCAAAAACCTTAGATTTAGTGAACATCATTCATGCTTTTAGGGGCATCGTCACTTCCGTTTCCATGTTGAGCGAGTGGTTAGAAAAATATGATACTATATCGCATGAATTATTTGGCAAATAATTAAATTCTTATAATTGACAATCAGCACTGCTATCATTAGGGAATTGTGATTAAGTACCTACGGGACAAATATTATTTTTACTTTATCCTACACAATTACGATCACTAAGACGCTTGATGAACGTTAATAGTGCAGGGATACAGGCGATACCCTCTATGTGTTAAATGACGTCATAAAGGCGCATAATTGACGCGTTTATCCGGTGAAGGTCATAACCCGAAAGTGGTTTATTGAAATGGCAAAATTTCATGTTATTATAAATTAAGGAATATATCTTCTTAATGCAAGGCTCTAATTCTATGTCCGGCTTTTGCTATACTTTTTGTTCTTTATGATTTATAAGCTCTACGTTTGTAAAATAGATTTTAGATTATCAAATATTTTTTCTACCTCGAGCATCACTAAAGAGACATTTATTGTCGAATTCTGATTATGGTGCAGAAAGACATTAAACACAGATACACAGGCCTTATATTTGATAAATATGACATTAGGACTTTACTTATTATGAAAAAAATATCAATGAATATAGTTGCGCGTTCAATCAAAAAGAGTTCTTGTAGAATAGCGAATGCCTTTACGACAATAATTAAATCGTTACATTTAAATTTTCATAAAAAAATATATATATAGGCTATGAATGAATGACCTTCTAATAAAAAAAACTCTTTCTGTTGCTTCATTCTAGTTATTATATTCACGATTGAATATGGTCAGTCAATATGATGCTAATGCATTATAAAAATAAGAAGATGTGGTATTACTATTTCAACTATCTACCAACGTTCAAATGAAGTGACTATCTGCAATGAGAAAAGCCATACTGTATAGTTGGCTATAAAAAGATCCGGCATAAAAAATGCGAGTTCGTTTAAAGAATAACTTAACGGCATAACTTATAAGAAAGAAAAACAACGAAAAAAAATTATGACAGACATGAAACAAAGAAATTCATTGAAGTGCAATTTCATGACTTTGCATATTTAATATATTCATTTATGAGAACAAAGTCAGAAATTAATGATTCCTTAATATAATTTCCAAGGTAGTCTGTATCAATAACCGTCATCCTTCATTTAAAAAAATATTTAAATATTAGTACAGTTCCATTTTGCCTTCCTATCTAATTAAAAAAATGTCAATTGGAAGGCCAAGTTCCGGCATCATGATTTATTTAAACTAATAAGATTTGAATACATCACGCACTTGTCTGACTCGAAATAAAATTATATAATTATGAAAAATAACCATAAAAAAGTCAAAGCATCAGTGAAATGTTAGCTAACAGATACGTTTACGTATAACACAATGTTTAATTGAGTGAAATGTGAATCAGTTTGTTTAAATATTGACTTTAAAAAATAATATTTTGTGATTATTTTGCAGTCTATTTAGTGAAAGACAGCCATATTAATCTATTGGAATTTAGAAGTATTGTTCTATTAGTCAATAGGTAAGATATATATTCTAATACATCCATTTGGAGAAATGCTTTATGCTATTTTTTTTTTGATATATTAACGCTTGATTTCTATCAAGTGCGTGGAGCCTCGGTGGCTGAGTGGTCTATTGTATCTTAATTGACCAGGATTGTCAGGTTTCAACCACCTAAACTTAATGCAGAAAAAAACATACTAACAGATAGACGGAGGCAAAGACCGGAATACAAAATATCCTCTTCTATCGTATAAGTTAAATTTAACGAAAAAATGTTAAATATGTGTTCTATTAGGATATGTCTGTAATAAGTCAGAAATATGACAGCTGTTTTCTTTTTGTTTGATGTGTTTGATTTCGTCATTTTATAAAGGACTTTCCGTTTTTGAATTACCTTGGAGTTCAGTACTTTTGTTGTTTTACTTTTTTATATGAAATGAAGGGTGTTGACAAATGTTCGCACAAAATCTTCATCTCTTTTGTATTCACCGAAATTGTCCTTCTAGAGAAGTAACTACCTGAGCAACAAATCACTTGTTTACATGTGTTTGTATGACTGTCGTTTAAAAAAAGGATAGTTTATTAATTGTATTTAAATATTTCAGTTGAAAAACGCCTTTATCGTTGGAATTGAATAGATATTATATACGTAATTTGAACACCACCCATAAAATTCAATTGTTGAAATAAAAAATAATCAACCGAAATGAGAAAGATTTGTTTTATTGTTTGTAAATCAACTTAATCACCAGGCGTATACTGTATATGAATATAAACTCATCATAGATACCGGATTAAAAATTGTGTATGCCAGACGCACATAATTCAAACAGACTAACTTAACTAATAAATAGTCTCAGTAAAATGCATTTTAAACTACCAGTTTATTCAAAATCTTACTTTATGTGTCGTGAAGCGTTAATTCTAGATTAATAAGTTGAATGATTTACCAGAGCAACATGATCCTCATTATGATTCTAAAAAAGAAGATGCGGTATGAGTGCCCATGAGACAACTCTCCATCCAAGTCACGAATGTATAAAACGTAAACAGTTATAGGTCAAAGTGCGGTCTTCAACACGGAGCCTTGGCTTACACCGAACAGCAGTCTATAAAGGGCCCGAGATTAACTAGTGTCAAACAATTCAAACAGGAAAACAAACGGTCTAATCTATATGAAAAACGAGAAACGAGAAACACTTATGGACCACACCAACAAACGACAACCACTGAACAATAGATGACTTAGGACTGGTGCATAAAAATGCAGCGGGTTTAAACTAGTTTTCTTGGCGCCATACCCACCCCCTAACCTGAGACAGTGGTGTAACAGTACAACATTAGAACAAACTATGCAAAACAATAAACGATCAACAAATATGAGAAACAACAAAAAAATGACTACCACTAAATTACAGGCTCCTGACTTGAGACAAACACATATAGAATGTGACAGGGTTAAACGTTTTAACAGGCCCCAATCTTCACCCTAATCTGATACAGTAGTGTAACATTGAAAATGTCTAAAAGTTTGATTGTTAGAATGTTTGAGACTGCAAACTAGATTTATTATATTTGCAAGAATGGTTAAGAATTAACTGTAAATATATATTCTAGTAAGCTTTTATACATGTGTTACATTAAAAAAAAATCGATCCGACCTACGGTCCGGGATAAAGAAACGAGCGATATAAAACATTTTGACTACGCTCCTAAATGACTAGAAAATGAATCACACCCGAATCTGTCAGTACAGTAATTCCTCTAATTAAATGATTCAAACTTTGGTGACCATTTGATTGCACCTATCCTACTGAAATATGTAATAAAGGATACCATGTCTGTTCTCTTTTTACGCCCATACAAAGATTTCCGCTTGGTGTCCGGTCAAAGCTAGGTTTTACGGACAAAGTAAGGATATTTTAATCTTCCACATGCCGAATTCAATTTTATTGAGCGGAATATGTATATATATGAAAAGAGTCGAAAGAAAAAAGACAAGCAACTTTTCACATTTCACTACTCAGAAAGCCGATTTTTTAACAACGCGAATTCAACCATCTAACATAGACTCATGTGATCCGTAAGAAAATATGTAAGCTCAATGGGAATCAGATCCAGATTTTACTTACCTACCATGTTGCCGTCTCGACTAATTGCTCCTTGGGATTCGTATCTCCCCACGGATTTTGGATTCCCGGTGTAAAAAAAAGACGAAAATGAAAAGGGTATTATATAGTGGTGTCTTTTGGTGAGGTTAAAATTTCACGATTTCAAATAACAGACCGGTTCGCGGGGATTTATGTTGTCAATTAAAAATGATGCCAATTCAATTCCCCTTTGTTTGAATTGTATTGTTTTTATTTGCATAACTCTTAGATATTTATAAATACATTGACCCTTTTCAGACACATTGGTGCATTATTCTTTCAATCTGTCTTTAGGTTTTACAAACATGTTTTAAATGAAAAATAAATATTTTACACTTTTACACGAGGATAGACTCTTTGGCTTATATTCCGACGAAACTTGAAACAATATGCTCTGTTCAAGTGTGAATAAGTAAATGATATGTGGGATGAGTATAAATGACACAGAAATAAAACGACAAAATTAATACTCATCTAAAGAGACCAATACAATGTTCAACAAATAACAGGTTGAGAAACAATATTTCCAAATTTGAGCCACCTTAATTATGTATAGGTGTAAATAAGAATCAAACGGATGATATCAAAGATTTACCATCATCAGTTAACAATTATTTTTATATTAAACCAACTTTCGTTTTTGCGACTGTCATACAAGTAAGAGGTTTAGCTAGCTATAAAACCAGGTTTAATCCACAATGTTCTACATAAGAAAATGCCGGTACCAAGTCAGGAATATGACACTTGTTATCCATTCGTTTGATGTGTTTGAGCTTTTGATTTTGCCATTTGCTTAGGGACTTTCCGTTCAGTATTTTTCTCGCAGTTCGGTATTTTTTGTTATTTTACTTTTTCAGATGTAGGCATTATACTGAATTATACTATCATTTGCTCTGTAGTTTAAAACAAATTATTTCAGATATCAGAGAAAATGAAGAAAAGGAAGAATATTTTACAAACAATATTGAGCTTAGTTACAGTTATGGTTGTGATAGTTGTTTTTCAAACAATTTTGTTTTTTATTCAAATTCAACGTAAGTATAAGTTTCGAAAGCTAATTGATAACATTTAATGCACCATGTAGTGAAAATTAAAACATGACCGACTGGTATAGTTTGAACTGTACAAGTTATAATAACTCGATGCAAAATAATGTGCTGCCGTTTGTTTTTGTTATATTATTTAGCCGCGAGTTATGAGCAAAGCCAAGCCTTGGATATACAAAATTCTAGATCGTCGAATGACAAAATTCAATATCACAAAAGAGGGGCGAAAGATATAAGAGGGACACTCAAACTCATGAGTCGAAAAAAAAACTGACAACGCCATGGCTAAAAAACAAAAAGACAAACAGTAAAAAAATCGTATACAAAACACAACATAGAAAACTAAAGACTAAGCAACACGAACCCCACCAAAACTGGGGTTGATCTCAGGTGATCCGGAAGGGTAAGCAGATCCTGCTACACATGTGGCACCCGTCGTGTTGCTCATGTAAGTACAAACTCAGTTACAATTCTTATGCGGTAGGTCACATTAGAAACATATCCGTTATCATCTGTGAAACGGATATTCCTGGTGGCGTCCGTAAAATTTACGAAGGGGTGATTTCAACTTCACCATTTGGAACCCTTGGTTTAAATAGCTTCCGTGTGAGCAGCAACCCTCTATCAAGGAAATCATGGTAGGAAAAACAAGCTCGGGAATATAGTATCGTAGGGTTTTTATAACAAAATATGACACCAACAGCAGTAAAGGTACGAGTATAATCTAAACAAAAAGCAAATGTAGATCACTCCATTAAATAAAAATCATACACGAACCAATATCAGTTAATACCATAATAGAAAAACAAAGGATATGGGATATCTATACATGACACAAAATCAGTACATGAACAAAGAAAACACACACAAAAAGCAAAGGAACAGCGTTTTTATTGCTGTTCTTCATCTCAATCAAAGTGAGGCCTTCAACAGGGAGCAAACAAACTAACCTCACTGCAAGTTTAAGACGGCCTCTAGCACCATTCATGCCGTTGCAAAAATATGGCCTTCAGAGTGGGGGAGATCTGTGATATTTTTAACGAGGCTTACATTAAGTGAAACTAATAAACAGAACATTTTATTTCTAAAAAAATATATATCAGTTACAATGACCCAGAACACATGATGATAAAATGTGATCTGGAGTTTCTCTATCTGAACTCGTACTGTTCTAGAATGTATCACACGGCTTCCTCCGCCTCATTTTTAGACTTATACCTCAAATTTGACATAAGCGGTCATCTCAGTACCAGGATCTATGACAAACCAGACGATTTTAATTTATATACCTCAAATTTGACATAAGCGCTCATCTAAGTACCAGAATCTATGACAAACCAGACGATTTTAATTTTGAAATTATTAATTTCCCCCACCGAATTAGCAATGTACCTACTTTACCTGCATATGGGATATACATATCCCATCTCATTCGGTATTCAAGAACTTGCACCTGCTATCAAGACTTTATAAAACATCACCAGTGTCTGAGCAGAGTTTTGATGAACCAGGATTATATCAAAGCACTTCTCGTCCTTTTTCTAAATAAAGTTCATCGGACAATACTTTGTTGATAAATATTCCGTATTAACTTCACAAATAATACATGATGGTCTTGAAGTAAATATTCTAGGTACTGCAGTTGTTTATCATCTTAGTTATGTGCACGTGTTAAAGTATTCTTTATTTGTCTTTGTAAATTATAAACCTTTACTATTTAGTCCTTTTTTGGTAATATCCTTTTGGCGTGGCTCTGTACTTATGCATCCCGCATGTGTTGTTGTGCTGTGGTCATTTTTTGTATTCTTGTCTTTCTATTTTGCTTATGTGCTTTGTCATGTTGTCTATATGCCAGTTTTTTTTTCTTTGTTGACATATTTGTTTGTTTTCATAGTGATAATAACACAATGTTGACTGCAGTACCCCTATTTTTGACATTTTTACCTATAATGTCTGTTTGTTTTGTTCACACGTTGTTGTCAATATAATGTAATTTTATTGGACTGTCATACAAGTGAGAGGTTTAGTTAGCTATAAAACCTAGTTTAATCCACCTTTTCTCCCTAAGGAAATACCTGAACCAAGTAAGGAATATGACAGTTGTTTTCCTTTCGTTTGATGTGTTTGAGCTTTTTATTTTACCATTTAATAAGGGACTTTCTGATTTGTATTTTCCTTGGAGTTTGGTATTTTTGTTATTATATTTTTCAATGTTTGGGAGGAACTATTTGTTCAAATGATAATAAAATAATTCGTTATTATACCTTAATAAGGAACCAATGATATTCAAACTACCTATTCCTTTACTTTGATTCTTAATACGAAAAAACGACGGTAGAAGATGGATAGAAACTTACCATGTATGGATTGGTCAACTACTAAATATATTTTTGATATTTTTTAGCAAGTTATTTTGTTGACTTTTTTATTTATTTTTCTTCAGATAATGCACAGTTTTATCAGAATAATAACAGAAAAGAATTATCTATCAGACCTATAGCAGCAACAAAGGTAAATTTTTTTAAAAAACACATGAGCTGCATTCGATAGGAATCGACCTATTACAATTGCACGTATACATGTACATGTATAAGACTTTGATTGATTATGTAACATGAAAATACTAAATAAAAGATGAGTGTTGGTTTATTTTGTAGGGTTCTTATAACAACTCAATTTTCAAAAAGTTGCCAACTTTCCGTAATGATTTTTTCAACCAGAAATAGGTTAATAGATTTATTGTTATTCATTAGCATAAGCTCGTTTTCTCTCCGATGCAGCTCACATTTGACACAAACTAGAACTGTAATTGAACTCACAAAATTATACTATCCGCTCTGTTGTATTAATGCCTTATTGAAGTAGTGAGTAAATGTGATCATCTACTTCTAACATGTTTAACCTTGATTATGTTTCTTTCTGCACATCTTGTTCAACTCTGCAATTGCCAAATGCTAGTGCTTTTGACAAGATACTGGTTTGGTCACGTTTTGCTAGTTGCCAGTTTATTTTCGACTTGTACGTTTGAATATCCCTCTGGTATCTTTCGCCTCTCTTTTTCTAATAAGAAGTACCACACAGTGAAAATTTTACTTTCCCATTTTGTCATTAAATTGCCAAAAAAACCCGACGTGACGAAAACGATATACGGTATAAAAGCGAAGTGGAAGGGACATTCAAACTCATAAGTCAAAAATAAACTGACAACGCGTGGCTAAAAAGAAAAGACAAACAGACAGACAACAATACACAAAACACAACACAGAAAACCAAGACTTAGCAACACAAACCCCAACAAAAACTGTGGGCTAACACAGTTGTTCCTGAATGGTAAGCAGATCCTGCTACACATATGACACCCTTTGTGTTGCACATGTAAAACATGTATAATTGTATTCTGATCATTGTTATCACCTTAAAAAGTAAGGACTAATTGTAAATGTAAATTTAAATGATTACTATTTTATTGCATATTTTTGTGTTTAATTCATGATAGGAAGTTATTGGACGTTCCCCAAAACGTATTTTATACCCGCAATTTGATCTGAATAATGTTTATCAGAACTGGACAGACACAGCTACATTAATAAGATCACCAGGAGAAACATATAGACGTAAGTGTATATTTTAAGTTTATAAACACACATTGCTATTTAGCTATAGAGTGCAACGAGTTTTTAAAATGTGTTTTCTTTCGCGAACTTTAATTAGACTAAAAGATAGGATGTAGATTGAGGAAATGAGGTCTGTGATAATGCTTTTGTTTAGTTCTATGATTGTACAACATATCTGCAAAATGAAAAAAAGTATAAAAATTGATAAGTTGCATAAGTTGCATTAGGCAATAATTATTGATATTAATCAATTAAGTAAAATCCTTTACCCTTTTATATCTTATCAAATATAAATGCAAATTTATATTTCATTATATTATAAATTTTATATTACTGTCATAGAGAATAGATATTTAGTTGAAATTTAATTTGCTAGCACCTAAAGGCATTAATTAAAACAAAACTAAATGAGAACCTTTTGGTTATTGGAAATAAGTAAGTCTACGGAATCTTTTTTTCACGAAAAAAAGGGGAAAAAAGATGATGTTAATAAGTATTTAGGTAAATGTCGTATTCTAACTTTTTTTAAAGATCAATGGGTGACGAAATGACTTAATAATAAGTATTCATAAATCTACTAAGTCAATTACGATCCTGTTCCATACACGATATCTAAGAGAAATGATATTTCAAAAATAAAGATATAAATATGGTTTTCATGTTGCCCAACTATATAGAAAAAGTATGATTTTTTTATTGATCTCTTTCGTAGGATATTTGACTATAGGTATAGTAACGGCCAAGCGACCACAGAACACTGTTTACCTCTACAATACACTGAGCTCGCTCATTACAAATGCTAATAGAGAAGACTTCAGAGAAATGTATATCATCATATTGCTTTCGGATCTGGACCAAGAGTGGAGGACAAACATGACTTCAGCAATTGTAAATAGGTATCCACAGGAAGTTAAAAATGGAACAATCAAAATAATTGGGAGCTTTGATTGGATGTATCCTAGTTTGACAAATCTAACTCACCATCGTAAATCACATTCGAAATCTAAGGCCAAGTGGAAAGCAAAACAAAACATAGATTTTGTGCTATTGTGGTTGTAAGTATATAAAACGAAGCTTTCGGAGTTTTATTTGCATCTTGAAGATGACGTCATAACAGTTGGAGGATACACCAAAGCTATGAAAACTTTCATCAACGATCAAAAAGCAGAGTGGACGTGTTTAGAGTTCTCTGAACTGGGCATGATAGCTAAATTATATCACACACATGACTTAGAGGCTCTTGCTAAAATGGTAGCTTTATTTTACCAAGAACAACCTGCAGATAATACTTATTTACATTTTAATACGCAGATGCTTCAGTTTCGTCGTATAATAAGAAAACCGACGCTGTTTCAGCATATTGGGATGACTTCCTCACAATGGGGTCATGTACAGTCAATCAAAGACCGATTTTTCGTGGCAAATGTTCAAAAAAAATTATCGAAAGGGGATAATCCACCCGCAAAAGTATTGACAAATTTAAAGTTTCTTTCCAAACATTCACCTGAAAATGCATACAATACCAGCTTTGGATATTTCTGGTCCAAATCTAAGCCGAAGAAAGATGATTACTTTAGAATTGTATTCAACAAACCTGAAGCTATTAAAAGAATTGTTGTCAATTCTGGGTTAGATATATTCCCAGAGGACAAAGTGTACAGCGCCGTATTAGAAATAAGCTCTAAGAATAATAACAGAAAAGAATGCACAGACTACAATATAATAGGAAAGTTTGTGAATGGTAAAGTTGACGTTCAAAATGTCCCTTATCTATTTAATACAACTGAAATACGTTGTTTTCAAATACGGTTTCAAAACTCACAAAACTTTTGGGCGATCATTCAAGAAATATCAGTTTTTATAAGGCGCTAAGCAGTTTCAACGAAACTGGCATATTTTATCAAATTATGATAAAGGAATAAATATTTCTCTCTTTCAACATTATGTTTTGTTAAGATTTTTTTATTGATAATCATAACATAGCTCCGAATATAGGAAAAACGTGAATAAGTTATGCAGCTATGTATACGGGTCTGGATGGGAGGTTTTTTTAATTCTGTGTTCTTTAAATTTTTAGTCATTATTCTCCATTCTTTATATTTCAGCACCCAATTATTCTCTATTTTTTATTTGTTTTGCCTTCTTTATTTCTATTCTTTATTTGTTTACTTTTTTTCTGTAATATTTGTCCATTATAATATATTCTGTAAACCTCATCCAGACCCTTATGTATTCGAGCGCGTACATCCATTACGGGATTTGTCATGCTATACAATACGACGAAAGATAGGCATCGTCATTGAGAAACTTTTGGGTGACGAATATCGCCATGAATGTCATTATCTGAAGATTTGAAGCTGCATATGTACGAATCCAGTTTTTAATCTTAGCTGGAAAAAAACATTAAGAATACATTAGTTTTTTTCTGTTTAGTGGAATTTTTGTAATTGTGCTGAAAATAAATCTGTGTTAACTTCATAGTTTTCTTAAACTGGTATATTTGCCAAAAACAATAGTTATATAAATGAGATGTGGTATGAGTGCCGATGTGGATAACTCTCCGCCAGTGTCCAAAATGACATAGAAGTTAATAATTATATAAGTCACCACACGCCATTCAACAATGAGCAAAACCCATACCGCATCCTTAATCACATCTGTAATATATCTTAATTGATCAAAAATTTCTAAACTTTATTGTAACGTAATTTTACATGTGTTTTTGATTACAGCTAGTGTGTGTAATTATATAGTAAATTTAGTTGATAAGCCAACTAACGTCTTTTTTCACCAAGCGTAATGCGACAAAATACCGCAAAGTGAAATCTTATGAGACTAATCAAAGAGTTCAAATATTAAGAAATATATGACTCGTAACCAAACAACATTTAAGAAATAATTCATGGGGGCTTGCATTTATATTGATTTTACCATGGGTTGGCCATTTTTTATAAATATTTTTACCTAGAGCGATAACGAATGGTAAAATATCGGCATAAAGGGCCAACCGGTGGTAAAATCAATATAAATTCAAGCCCTCATGATTTTTTTTCTTATCTAATAAGAAAACGACTTCAATTGTTTTGGATCGAAGCATTTTAGAGGAAGGGAAATATCTGCTGTTCCCGTAATTGAACTCACTATGAATATTTACGTAAAAGACGGAGAAAACTGAATTAGTGTCATGTTAAAACGACTTGAAATAACATACTAAATAAAGGCAACAGTAGTATACCGCTGTTTAATAGTCATAATTCGACTGAGACGGGTTTGGGTGAGGTTAAAAGATTATCTTAATTTTATTTAAGAAAATTGGCTTTTAACAAATTCTAATCATTGTTTGTTTATGTTTTTAAGTTTTGACGACTTCAGTTTCATATTCGTGCATTTTCCCGTAGAATGCTTATAATCTTACGTCATCGACCAATGATGTAATTTACATTTGTCTAATATCGGTTAAAACATTCATGTAAAACATACTACAAGGATTAGGATTGGAACATCCAAAAAAAATCATGACGTTGATATATCGAGGTTTTCGTATTTAAACAAAGATATCTACGCAAAGCGTTTGGAGGACGTCATATTAGAATTGATAATTAACTTATGAGCCATGCGTTTTGATAAGACACTCGTTGAATATTTTTCCATGTTTGAATATTCTTCAATCCGTTATTCTATACCTAATCAACAATTCAAGCATATTGATATTTCTGATTTTGGAAAGGAAAAGTTTGTTTAAGTATGCGTGTTTTTTCTTAAGTATGATTTGCCCATTCCCCCCAAAAATACACTAATATCTAGGTTGGTAGATTATTAAAAAACTTGAAAGAGTTTTTACTTTATAATAAGATATGTTTCAATCTCGCCACATTTTCATGTGACTATCCCAAATCA